CGCAGCCGTCAGCTGACTCGCAGGGCGCTCCGGGGCTGTGGCCTCCCCAGCATCAGGCCGGTTTCCAGCGTGGCACCGGGCAGGTGACCTTGAAGACGCAGCCTCGCTGCTGCAGGAGGGCAGCCTGCCTCCCTCCGCACCTGGCAGCGATCCCCCACACCTGGCAGGGACGGCTCCCCGTTCCTTGCTTTTCTCTGGGGCACGGTTTGTGTGCGTGTGCGTTTTAACTCGCAGCCTGCAGGACTTAACTATTTCTGCCCTGCTTGCTAAAGACGGCAGGTCATCCTTGGAGTGACCATTCCGACGCGAACGCAGGCTGCAGTCATCTCTGCCACCTGCCGTTTTCGTTAGCTTCAGCGTCCGAAGAAGAAACGTGGGGGGAATTCCTGCCCGTGTTCTGATTTTAAAAGCACGTTTTTTTAAAACAGGTAAAAATTGCCTCAAGCCACTTGTAGGCTGTAACGGACTAGTAAATGGTACCCTAATGCGATGGCAGGAGCAACAGGGAAACCCCGAGGGTAACGGAGTCCAGCAATAGCCTTAAACCGTGGTCCGGCCGCTAGAAAGCAGCGCGTATGACGGAGCGCAGGTTGCACATCCCAATTAATCTGACAATGGAGCAAAAGCCTTATATGGTATTACCCCAGTGGTTTGAGGAATGCCGAAATAAGAAAGCAGTCATTACCAGGCATTTGTTTAATGACTGTAATCATACTGAATTAATTTAACTTGCTGCAATGTTTAACAGAAAGTCAATTATAAATTTGTGCTGGAAGCATAACAATATTAGTATTTGCATACACCTTGCTCCGAGGAGACGTCCTCTGAAGATAACCTCATCTCGCCAGCACTGACAGAGCACTCAGGATGTGCTAAGTGCCTTACAGGACAATCCACGGCCAGCCTGAGGACAGGCGCTCATGATTCGGAGCCCGAATGACACAGACATCCGGTGTGAGGGGCGTACAGAGGATTGCTCCCCTGGCCTATGCCGGGCACTTCGTAAGGATTCATCGGGGCTTTTGTTTTTTTCCTATTTATGTCCTACGAATTTTAGTTTTCTATTTGCTGCTTTTCAGGTTGTCCTGACATGAATCCTAGTCAAAACTAACAGGAGGTCCAAACTAGATGACAGAAATCATCCACGCCGGCATAGAACTACTACTGTATTAGGGATACTCTGAGTGTTAAGATTAGAATGACTAGGAGTATGTAAATGAAGGACTGATTCTACTTGGAGGCAGTGGGCGGGTAGGAGGGAGCCAGAGGCCCACGGGAAGGGATGCTGCCTGCAGGGAACCCAACACAGGTCTTTCTTTCCCATTCTCTCTAGAGAGTCCAAGTCTCTTAAGGTCCCCTTGCTACCTTCTTTCAAAATCTGTTACCAGGAAATGAGCACCCAAATGACCCAAATAACCAATAAGTTTTAGCATCATTCCTTACACTTTTTGAGGCAAATAAAGCTTCCAGAAAAGGTATGGCTATCTGCTGGGGCATTTTGAGCACTAATTCATTTCCGAGGGGGCAAGGAGGCCTTCTCCTTCATCATATGGCAGATCTGTGCCTGTGGTGTTGACTGCATGCCCCCTCCCCCACCCTGGGTGTAGGTAAGGCTCAGCCTGAAACTTCCTAAAGCTTGTACCATGAATGAGGGCGATCAGCGTGGGTCACTGGGGCAGCCAGAGACACTCTGGCAGCATCCCTCCCTCCCTCTAGGACTTTGCTTCTGATTTCTCTCAGATCCTTGGCCACCAAGAAAAAGTGGCTCAAGCATTGGTATTTTTAGAAAGCGTGCCCAGAGATGCCCAGGTTTCCCATAGGCAGACAGCAGGCTTTCCTTTCATTGCAAACTATCCTGAAATAGCATGCTTCCCAATGACTTAAAAAAATGCTAATTCGTAACCATTAAGTACAGACTTGAAACCTCTGTAGCAAAGGATGGAAAAAGGGGTGTGCGAGTGTGTACAAAAATGGGTGATGTGCTTTATGAAAGTCAATCAAACCCCCATATGTGTTAATAACTTATACATTTCTCTTAATTTTAGGTATCCAGAAATAGAAGGCACACATTTCATTTTCCTTTGCATTTTGCAGAATGAGGCCAGTGAGGTGGTGGCTGTCCAGGCCTTTGTTAGATAAGGGAAAAAAAAAAAATCTGTTCCTAAGCTCTCTGGAAATCTTCATTTTGAGACGTGCACCTTGTGGGGTGTGGGTGGGGACATACAGTCTCTGGCAGTCTTTAGAAGTTTGTGGATCGCTTCTCAGTAATATGCATATGCAGTACAATAAACAGGATTATCGAGGAAACTAATTGTATTAAATATTCTAGCTTAACTCTTGCCTTGGAAAATCCAAATACTTCCAAGGTGAAATTGCAAAGAGATTGTGATGGTCTCTGTTCCAACTTTTATCCAATAAGAAAACAAGTTCAAGAAGAGCCTAGGCGTTCAGTCGGTTAGGTGTCTGCCTTTAGCTCAGATGATGGTCCCAGGGTCCTGGGATCGAGTCCTGCACCGGGCTCCCTGCTCAGTGGGCAGCCTGCTTCTCCCTCTCCCTCTGCTGCTCTCCCTGCTTGTGCTTTCTCACTCAAATAAATAAAAATCACAAAAAAAAAAAAAAAAGCCTAGACAAGATAAAAGGGTGGGAAGGAGACTAGATGACTGTATTTATTGAACTTCATTAAAGTTGAAATCATGTTTCTTCTCGAAAGTGACCTTTTTAATGACTAGCAGAATCCCCATGTTCACATTTAAAAGAACAGCCCAGACTTTCCAAACTGTCACCTCGCATCATATGGACCCTTCCTGAGGCTTTAAAAAAAATAATGTGGACACAATTTATTCTTTCATCTTTTTGTTTTACAGATGAGGGAGACAACTGAAGCTCAGAAAGGCCGAGTCCTGCTTACAGCTGCATGTGAGTAAAAGGGCAGTAGAGCCCGGAGCCCAAATCCTACACCTGCACCAAGACCCACTCCTTGCACATACTTGGTCACTCTACCAAACCACTGGCAGCTGGCAGTCAACCACAGTGGGAATATTTACACCACAGAAATGGGCAAACGCTAAAGTCAGGGTGGTGGTTTTCCCTCCAGAGAGCTGATTGACGTGGTGTGATATCTTTAATTACACCAGCTTCTAATCACGCGTTCTTTCATTTCAACCCCAGAATCCAGAGTGCTTAGGAATGTCAAGCATAATGGTTCATTCAGCATAAAGCTTGCAGGTCAGAGGGTCTTTTTTTTTTTTTCTCACCATAGCACATACCCTCTCCAGTGTCCATCACTCAGCCACCCCATCCCTCCCATACCCCCTCCCCTCCAGCAACCCTGAGTTTGTTTCCTGAGATTAAGAGTCTCTTACAGTTTGTCTCCCTCTCTGGTTTCACCTTGTTTCGTTTTTTTCCCTCCCTTCCCCTATGATCCTGTTTTATTTCTCAAATTCCTCATATTAGAGAGATCATATGATAATTGTCTTTCTCTGATTGACTTATTTTGCTTAGCATAATATCCTCTAGTTCCATCCACGTCCTTGCAAATGGCAGGATTTGGGGGTTTTGATGGCTGCATAGTATTCCATTGTGTGTATATACCACATCTCCTTTTTCCATTCATCTGTTGATGGACATCTGGGTTTTTCCCATATTTTGGCTATTGTGGACGTTGCTGCTATAAACATTCGGGTGCACGTGCCCCTTTGGATCACTACATTTGTATCTTTAGGGTAAATACCCAGTAGTTTGATTGCTGGGTCATAGGGCAGCTCTATTTTCAACTTTTTGAGGAACCTCCATGCTGTTTCCCAGAGTGGTTGCACCAGCTTGCATTCCCACCAACAGTGCAGGAGGGTTCCCCTTTCTCCGCATCCTCGCCAGCATCTGTCATTTCATGACTTGTTAATTTTAGCCATTCTGACTGGTGTGAGGTGGTATCTCACTGTGGTTTTGATTTGTATTTCCCTGACGCCGAGTGATGTGGAGCACTTTTTCATGTGACTGTTGGCCATCTGGATGTCTTCTTTGCAGACATGTCTGTTCATGTCTTCTGCCTATTTCTTGATTAGATTATTTATTCTTTGGGTGTTGAGTTTGATAAGTTCTTTATGGATTTTGGCTACTAGCCCTTTATCTGATATGTCATTTGCAAATATCTTCTCCCATTCAGGTAAGAGGGTCTTTAATCCTAGGCCACTGGTTATCTGTGTGACCTTGGGCAGGTTCATTCCCCTGTCTGGGATTCAGCTTTCTCTGTCGAACAAAGATAATAATACCGTGCACAACAGTTATGTACATTCGTGATGCTATGCTCACACGTGCTAAGCGACCAATGACTGTTCGCTGTGATTATGTTCCTCTTCTTCCTCCTTCTCCTTTTCCTGATTCAGTTGGTCATCATAGCAGACTGACATTATTTGCACTGAGATCGGTAAGGATATTTTTTTTAAAGATTTTATTTGTTTATTCATAAGAAAGAGAGAGAGAGAGGCAGAGGGAAAACCAGGCTCCCCAAGGAGCAGGGAGCCTGATGCAGGGCTCGATCCCAGGACCCCAAGATCATGACCTGAGCCGAAGGCAGATGCTTAAGCATGTGAGCCACCCAGGCGCCCAGGTAAGGATATTTTTAAGAGATCATAGACAAAAAGCAGAAACAACACCCCTTCCAAAAAAAAACCTATACAAAGAACTTGGGATTCTGGAGAGTGGAGGATTAGCCTCTGTTTCCTGACTTTTGCGGGTAACAGATCGGAAAGGCCAGTATTATTTCTGCATAACCTCTGTAACCTAAGGGAGCGTCACAGTTCAACAGAGAAATTACTGAGGGGCAAGACTTCAGCATGGTTTTAGAGATCTTAGAGAAGACAGAATAGAAGTATACACTGGATTTGAGGTATTCAGGCAAAGACAAAGTTGCCAGTTGTATGCAAAATGTGCAATCCTGGGGCCTCTAGCCCCTGTAGCCATGTAGTTCCCTCTGTGAATGTGTCTTCACTTGTGGCGTCTAGCAGCCAATCCGCACACTTGCCGAGGCGTACTGTATGTTTCAGAGCTAAGAATCTCTCCTTTAATGAGCTGGAGCTTCAGGGGAAGAGGTGTTGCCCGCAGGCTCTGGGGGACTTAGTCCACAGGAGCAAGGGCTTGGAATGTCAAATTGGCTGCGTCTGGAGGGCTACAAGCCAGGGAGACGCCCCCTCCCCTGTTCAGTGGCTTTGGCACGCCCCTGGAATGGGTCCTACAGGTTCGGTCCCATCTTTTGGGCTTCTCTGCAGCCAGAGTGCTACTGAACACAGGACTGCCGTGACAGTGAGAGGATAGAGAAGCAGCTTGGAAAAGGTGGGGCAGTACCCACCCTACTTCTGCTCATCCCAGCCCAACCATGGAAGGGCAGCAGGGGGACAGTATTATCGCCGTGGTACCCTAGGTTCACACCAAATCCCAAGGGACGATAGAATGACGTCATGCCATCCTTACAGACTAAGCATTACAGGCAGTAAGTTCTAGCAGTTCAAAGGAAGGACAGATCACCTGGCTCTCCTTGCCCTGCCTCCCCCGCAGGCTCCACATGGCCCCCCTTACTTTGGGCTCACTCCTTTTCCGAGCTGAAGGTGCACTCGCAGAAAGTGGCATCAGCTGGGACAACAGGAGCCCTCGAAAGAGCCAGGCTGTGGCCCAGGAGACATCAGCCTTCCAGTCCCTGAAGGTAAAGATGTTTTAACCCAAATACCGATGTATAATAACAGAACTGCAAGAAAGAAAAACAGACACAGTTTCCATTTATTGAGGGTCGGGCATGTGCCAGGCACACAGGCTAAGATTCCCAACCATGAATGCAGTAATAATCACATGCATAGGGCCTCCCATGGCCAGAGTTCCAAACGCTTTACATACATAACTTAAATCATTCCCGCAAACACCCTCCGAGGAAGGAATTCCCATTCAACCTCCATGAGGTCCCTTCCACAAATGAGAAAAGGGAGGCATGAAGAGAGGAGTCTTGTTCAGATCACATACCTGGTAAATATCAGGCTGCGCATTCAAACCCTCAGTGTCTAATCTGGGTTCAAGTTCAGATCCTGTGCCCTTGAACACCAGTATTCAAACACGGGATTCGTGCGGTGAGTGTTCAGTTGTAACAGTCTTCGAGTGGCTTGGAAGAGCCTAAGAGAAAGGAGGGGAAAAACAGAAAGTAAGCTTACAGTCACTCAGGGAAGGGTTAAAATCTAAGAATCAGTCATCCCATCCCATAAAAAGTATTAGCGAAACGGGCTTTTCAGCCAAGTGTTCCTTTAACGATTGAACTCTGCGGTATGCTAGTAAGTTGGCTCTCAGGGGAAGAAAAGAATGGCTTGTAGCGTTTGCCTATTTCTGTGGTGTAAATACCCTCACCACGGCCGAGTTCAAGATTCCAACAGTGTAACAACCTGTTTGCAAGATTCCTGAGTATTTAACAATCGGTTCTCGAAAAGCCTGGAGGAGCCACTTCAGCACACGGTAGTGTGGGCTCCGCAGCGGCCTGATCGACTCCCTCCCAGAACCGTATCATTTTATAATGTCTACACATTCAGGGCAGATTTCATACTAAACACACAGCTCTGTGATGTTCCATGACTTAGATAGTCTCTCTCCTACTCTCCCTCCCAAGCAATGTGTTTTTACTTCTCGTATTTCATGAAAGACGTTTTTATTTTTGATCTTGATTTTAAGAGGAAGGTGTGACATTCATAGTTCTCTTCCTTTGACCCTCTAATAAATCTAACAAATTGGTGTGGCTTTGGGAGTGGGAATGACTCCTGGTTGGGTAAAAGCTTTCTTCTGTGAATTGGTCGGCCTTTGGGAGACCCGAGAAACCTACGGATGTCGTGCTTACATGTGCATGGGAATCTGCACACGTACACACACACACACACACACACACACACACACACACTCACCACTATTGACCGTGAGCCCTCCACAGCCTGGAGCACGGCTGAACCCGCCGCACTCACCAATTTGCATCAGCACCTGTTCCCAACCACTGCCTCAGACCATAGCTGCACACAACCTTTCAAGGCCTGGCCAGCCAGGCACGTCACTTTGTAAGTACATGATTGCCATGAGGTCATGATGTGAATTCAGACCCAGCAAATGAAATGGCAATGACCCTTTGAGAAACGATGTAACTCTAGGGATAATCACCACATTCTGTGTAATTTTTTTTTTTTTTTTTTAGATCTTGGGGGGGGTGCTAATTTGTAAAGCACATATAACCAAATGAATAATTATATAGCAAGGCGCTGAAGGCAATTACAAAATAATTGCATGCTATCTGATCCCTCCATGAAAACAGACTTCACAGAATGTTCCCCTCAACTATTTCTTGTACCTGTGGAAGGCTTTAAGGTTATTCTTTTTAACTCTTTTGAGTCATGTTGTTTGGTAAAATATACTCAAGCGTTGGCCCTCCGTGTAGGTTAGAAACCCAGCATAAAGCTTGATTTTTGCCCCTATGTTCTATAAAGTAAATTTATGGGAAATTCAACACTTTGTTATAAAATAGGCTTCGTGTTAAATGGCTTTGCTCAGCCGCAGGGTCACGTAAGTGTTCCGAGCAGGCAGGCTAGCCTGAGCTATGATGTCCAGTATTGCTGACTTCGGATACTTTCAAGTTATGATGGTTTATCAGGATGTAAGTCGAGGAAGACCTGTACTAGAATTACTCAAAAATTTTACGAATACGATCTGTCTTTGGGTCTGAAATAGCACCTGAGACCTCTGAAAACCTGTTCCTCTGCGTTATGCCTTTGTGTACGTCCCTCACGACGTTTCCATTCTCAGCTGAAAATGAGTAAGACTGGGAGAGAGAGGGTAAGTGACTTGCCCAATGACTTCTATCTCCTGGCTCCAAGATTCCCCCCCCCGCCCACCCCATGCCACATGCATGCATTTTCTTTGTCCTGATCTTTATTGTTTCTATTCCTGAAGTGAGATGAGAAAGAGAGAGAGACAGAGGGAGAAGAAGTGCAGCCACACTGGTTACTAGAAAGAAATGGAGTGAGGAGTTGGGGATCCATGGGATGATATTTTGAAAGCCCGTCCAGAAGCTAGAAAGAGCCCCCTATCAATAAACACACACGAAACTTGCCCCACTGTGTATCCTTCTAAAGCAGACGGCATTGACGATCAACTTTAAAAACCAATAAACAATAGTGTGGAATATCTCATGTAATTTGCTGAAGCCTGTACCCAAAGTGGAAAAACGGAATGTGTGTACAGAGGGATGGTTAAGTGTATTGGCTGCTTACCGTCATGATCGCGGGACTGACTGGGAGGGGGCGGAAGCTTGTCGCCGCTGCCTGGCATCACAAGGTGACATCCTACCCCGTGTATCGCGAGCCTGGGAAAAGATGAGAATTCCATGTACAGTTTCTACTGATTTAGTATTTAATCTAGAATGATCTACTTGTGTGCCAGTGCTCACCCTCCACCCCCGCCCCCAGCCCCCGGACCCTGCCTCTCACTCTATTGCCACCCTTGGCAATTTCTTGTGCTAATCATGCTTTGCAGATGGTCCAGAATGAGAAACAACAAAAAGCCAAAGAACTAATCTGGAAGAAAAATTATTTCTTGTATTTTTTTTAAAGATGTATTTATTTATTTGACAGAGAGAGATCACAAGTAGGCAGAGAGGCAGGCAGAGAGAGAGGAGGAAGCAGGCTCCCTGCTGAGCAGAGAGCCCGACGTGGGGCTCGATCCCAGGACCCTGGGATCATGACCTGAGCCGAAGGCAGAGGCTTTAACCCACTGAGCCAACCAGGCGCCCCTATTTCTTGTATTTTAATAAGAGATTAATTACAGTTGACCTTTGAACAAGATGGGTTTGAACTGCATGGGGTCACTTAGACGTGGATTTTTTACTGTCTCGTACGGTAAAGGCATTTTCCTTATTTTTTAAATAACATTCTCTTTTCTCTAGCTTAGTTTGTTGGAAGAATATAGTATATAACACACATAGCATACAAAATGTGTGTTAACAGACCGTAATCAGTAAGGCTTCTGGTCAACAGCGGGCCATTTAGTAGTGAGATTTTGAGGGAGTCAAAACTTACATGCAACTTTCTGACCACACCAGGGGTTGGCCTCCATGTTGTTCAAGGGTCAACTGTACTGTTTTACTTCTACTTTTAGGAAATTTTAGAATTTTTCCTTGAAGGATATTGTTTGTTCCAATCTACTGGATACAGAAGGGGCCTGAGAGCTAAAATTGGCCGGCGGTGAAACTTTCCAAAACCACCAGCGTTCCTAACAAACTCAAGGTTGTGGTGTTTAGAAATGTAGTTATATCATACTTGCAATTGAAACTTGTGGTTTTCCAAGCCTTTGTGAAAGGATCTACTTCCAAACTGTTGCTGAAGTGACTCAGGTCTCTTCCATACTCCCAGGGGATGTGGAGCTGGGGAATGACGAGTACAGGGGCAGAGGCAAACGGACGGTCGATGGTCTCTTCCCAGATTCTTCATGTCACTGATGCTTAGTCCACTGATAGTCAAACACGGAACAGTCATTTTTCATTTACTTTAAATACGGTCACAGGCACTAAAATTATTTAAGTATAAAAGAACAGAAAGAGTCTGCTTTCTTCTGTAATGAGAAAGTGAACAGCGAGCCCACGAAATCATTGCAGAGTTTAGGTCACTGTTTCAGAGTGAATTAAAAGTCCTATTGATTTAGTAGGAGAACACATTTGTGAAAACTAGACTTTTTAACAGGTTTAGGAATGTTTTCAAGATATCAGATAAATGAGTAGTCCTTAAAATACCGGCCTCCACCAAGCCTCCAACTGTCAGCATCTTTGCCTTATAAAGAGGGCAGCCACAAGACCTGTGATTGAAAATTGCTGGGGATGTCCGACATAGTTGGAAATTGAAAAGGGTATAAATGGAAAGCAAGGAGGTAGAGACCGCATATATTACATATTCTTTGTTGTTATTTTTTAAAGATTTTATTTATTTATTTGGCAGGCAGAGAGGGAGGGAGGAAGCAGGCTCCCTGCTGAGCAGAGAGCCTGACGCGGGGCTCGATTCCAGGACCCTGAGACCATGACACGAGCCAAATGCAGAGGCTTAACCCACTGAGCCACCCAGACACCCCGTTACATATTCTTATAAGAAGTGTGGTTATCAAAGACTCATTAGAAGTCACAGTTTAAATGGTATGTACTTCTACCAAGGAGGTTTTGGAGGGCTATTTATTTAGGATGGAAACTTTTAAAATAAACTTATTGGCTGAGGAAAAAAGAATTGGTAGAAAGTGACAATTTGGGGGTATAGGAGACAGAAGAGTCCATTGTTGGGGCTCCAGGGCCAAGAGCAAGGTGGAGGTGTGGCCCTTGAGCATCCTCCTTACCTTCTGAGACTGTTGAAGGCGGCGTGAGTACAGGAGGATTTAGTGGTTCCCATCGTCTGAACCCGGCTTCCAGAATTAAGAGCAATGCTGCAAATACATTTTGATCACAGACTGTTATCTCCCCAGACATAGCTCTTGTGATACTATGAATGCAGTCCAAGTCTGAATTAGCTTTTGGGGCAACTGGCTGACTCAGTCAGTGGAGCATTTGGGTCTTGATCTCAGGGTTGTGAGTTCGAGCCCCATGCTGGGTGCAGAGATTACGTAAAAATAATAAAATCTTTTTTTTTAATTTTATTTATTCGTCAGAGTGAGAAGCAGACTCCCTACTGATCAGGGAGCCTAATGTGGGGCTCGATCCCAGGACCCTGCGATCATGACCTGAACTGAAGGCAGAGGCTTAACCCACTGAGCCACCCAGGCACCCCCAAATAAAATCTTTTAAAAAAAGATTGAATTAGCTTTTTGAGACAATAAATCAGTTTCCCTTGGGAAATAGTATAATATAAAGGAAAATAAGGGTTATAAGGGTTCTGGCATTAAGTTCAAATCCTGGCCCACCTACTTACTAGCTATAGGATTTTGGTCAAGTTACTTATAATTCTCAATTTTCCAAAAAAAAAAAAAAAAAGTAATAAAATAATAAATCTCCCTCTGAGAATTACCCTGAGAATTAAATGGGCGATAACTAATAGTAAACATTCCGGAAACATATTATTTTGATTGCTATTAGTACTCTTGTGGTAAAGGAAAATTAGTAGATATTTCTATAGGGTTATTAAGAAACATTTCCCCCATTCTATTTACTGTTGATTTTTTTAGACTCAGGGGTAAGACTTTAACTCTACTGAATTGTGTGCATGTTAGGTTCATTATACTGTTCCCCTCTCCTAAGATCCTTCTGCGTTCTGACTCCATCAGTCCCTGCATTTCCTGCCCTCTCCAGCCTGCAGATCTGTGACCCTCACCAGAGTCCTGGCCCCGCCACGGCCATCGTATACCCTGTATCCCCTTTCGCCTTCTTCCCTGCTGACAGATCCTAGGTCTGGTTCAACCCAAGCAACGGGCTCAACTTCAGCACGCCGTCTCCCAGACTCCCTTGCAGGTGGGGGTGGTCATGTGACACACTTGTAGCCAATGAGGAAAAGCAGAGGTCACGGGGTGGGTGTCCAGGAATGTTTATTAAGGAGGCTAGAGGCATGAGAATGAGAGCCCGATCCTAAGAAGGATGGAGAAGGAAGAAGAGCCTGAGACTTGATGCCTTTGTACAGGCCCTTCACTGTGCCACACCACAGCCCTTGTCGTGTGACGAAAACAACCCCTATTTCTTTCGGCCTCTCCGTTCCATTTAGCAAACACAATTCCTACCTGCTCCAGACGCCATCTGTGATGTCATCTAAATATCTGGGGCCAGGGAAATTAGCCCACGCAGAACGGAGCTGAAGCTAGAACACTACCCCCTGTCTTTACAAACCATCCTCCACTTTGATTCCAAATTCACTGAGACACACCTGACATCTACCGCTGTGTAATTTAAGGTGTACAAACTGACGCGTTACGGACATACATAGTTCTTACACTGATGTCTTACTTTGCAACACTTGTCCATAGGTGAGTCCTGCCGCCGCGCTGGCCCCAGTCTCCATGACGAGATGGCTGAGACGCTGTCTGCTGGGTCCAAGGCATGCATTCAGTGTAGATCTGCAAAAACGAAAGGCATCGTGCAGTGATCAACTCCTTGTGGCACAGACAAGGGAACTGGGGCTCAGACGCCTTGTCCCAGCTCAGGCTCCCAGGAGGTCGTAGGGCCCGCGCACACCCCGTAGTCTCCCCCCACAGTGTTTACTGCGTTGCACTCCCCATTTGAGTAAGTCATGCAAACATTCCTTCTTAAACTCTGGCTTCAGGATCTCGTTTTACTTTACCCCCAATTACATTAACTTTTAAAATACCCTCAGGCACTAATGCCAGACTAAAGACTGTGTCTGTTTTTCAGGTGAACACACTTTGATTCTCAGTACCCTGGGGTACTATCCGCAGTCACAAAGAGCCGGTGGTAGTAAGACACAAGGCTGAAGACGGCTTCTGCAGCTACAGGAAGGAGACTGATAAAGGGCCTCCAATGCCCCCTTGAACTTGGAGTGGGTCACTCTGCCCTCACCCCCATGGTTGGGATCTCAGTAAAAATGGCTTTTCCCCAGTCATACCTGTCATGTGTTGAAGTGGAAAACAGCTTACGGATTTCTTGTGCTACCCAGAAATGGGACAACACCGGCACGGACATTTCCTTGATATCTGATAGCCGCGAAGTCCCTCCAACCGCTGCAGCTCCTGCCCCGCAGACACCGGGGAGATTAGATACGGCGTTTGCACCTGGCCAGCCATAAACGGCTTCTGGGTCACACATGAAGGTTAACAGGCCCCGTTCCCTTCCCTCCTTAGACCTAGAGTGTGAAAACATGAAAGAGAGCTGTAATTATTGCTCAACAATAAAAACTTCTGCGGCGTGTGTAACATGAATGGATTTATTTGCCTGCCCGGAGTGGAGGCGGACCTGTTCCTGGGGGTTGACAAGGACATGCCTCCTCTCCCTGGGTCCTTTACTGATTTATCTTTTTTAAGATCTTATTTAAGTAACCTTTACACCCAACGTGGGGCTCGAACTCCCAGGCCCGAGATTAAGAGCCCCGCTTCATTCTGTCCCTTACCTTCGAATGTTAGACTGTGGGGCTGGTTTCTGTCAGAGGGACAGGAGGGAACGCACTGACTGTGTGCTTAGTCAGCTAGTGAGAGATTCCACCCTTCACAAGGAAATTGGGGCGCCTGGGTGGCTCAGTGGGTTAAGCCTCTGCCTTTGGACCAGATCATGATCTCAGGGTCCTGGGATCGAGCTCTTTATCAGGCTCTCTGCTCAGTGAGGAGCCTGCTTCCCCCCTTCTCTCTGCCTGCCTCTCTGCCTACTTGTGATCCCTCTTACTGTGTCAAATAATTAAATAAAATCTTAAAAAAAAAAAAAAAAAGAGCAGGAACTTTTCTCTCCAGAACTTTGCCTGGTTCTTTCTGGTGCATCTACCCCCCGCCCCCTTCGAGCTAGGCTTTGTTCTCATGACCTCCTTTTTTGTGACCCAGCATTGCTCCTGAGGCCGGACAAGTGTGGCTCGGCTTGGGAGGCAGGGCAGAGCTCGGTGCGTTTCCTGGAGTCCTCTCCGTGATTATGATTCAGGGGATCCTGGCTGGCTAAAGCATGATTAAAATGAGTTTATAGACTTCTGCGGCCAGCTGTCATCTACTCAGCCACAATGTGGTAATTCGAGAGCATTAAAAAAAAAAAAAAAAAAGACACCATATTAGCAGATCATTTGAATGTACCCCCCCCTTTTTCCTCCACAAATCCTAATGCTCCACACTTTTGTTCCCAGTATGTTATATAAGCATGAATCATTCTGAGACTTGAATAACTCCTTTGACCATGGGGAGTTCGGAGGCCTACAAGGAACTTTAGCTGAAATGGAAACTTGCCACATGGGTGACACTCTCCACTCCTGTTTTCTACTAGTTCCTAAACTTTTCAAGTACGAGAGCCCATTTTTCACCCAATACTAGGCATTTTGTTTTAGTCTCTGTTGACTGAGATTACCAAAAGCTGTCATGAAAGCAGCATATTTTGTACTGATTAATCATTGCAACAACCACTTACACATGAAAAATAACAGTACATCTATACCAGTACATTCTTCATTCTGTCCTCGATAACACTCGGTATAAATATAGATTTCCGGACTCCTTAACAAAACTTCAGGGGCTCCCAGGGGTTCGAGGGCCAAATTACACAGTCACTCTTCGAAAGAGTAAATGACTCTTGCAGAAGGAATTTAGAAAGAGGGCTGTTAAAAGAATCTTGCAAAAACTTGCAGAATAAGATCTTCGGTACACCATGTTCCACAGGACGAACGAAGAGGGCATGAGGAAGCTAGCTCTCGAATTTCCAGCAATAACTTGAGGTGTTGTGCTCCTGCAATTTAACCGACCTATGGGGCACTGTTGTTGGTTTTGTTTTTTTTTTTAATGGACCAATGTAATTAGATAAAATTCATAATCAACTCAAATATTTATCTTCTTGGGGCTCCTGGCTAAGACAGTGAAGTGTGAGACTCCTGATCCTGGGGTTGGGGGGTTGAGCCTGATGTTGGGTATAGACCTTACTTCAAAAAAAACATTTTTTTGTATCTTTTATCATCTTATAGTGCAGCCCCCTGAACCAGTATAATTGCTGTATGTTAACAAGAATGATTGCACTTGAAAATCCCTATTCAGTAAAACTAAATTAAGTAAAATACAGAGTACGTAATTCACAATCTGATTTAATTTTTACATGAGATTATTAACAAACTACTGAGCTATCACAGACCCTCTAAATCATGTTCTCACCCTTTATTCAGACCTATAAAATAATATTCAGGTCACTGGATGTGTTTTAAAAGTTATTTCTAGCCTCATTTTCCCTTTTGATTTGAGGCAAGCAATGGTTTCCCCCAAGAGTCTCCAATGCACATCTTCAAACACAGAGCAGAGTTCTAGTGTAAATTATAGTCCTTTCTTCTCTAAAAAAAAAAAAAAAAAAAAAAAAGGCCAAGAAAAAAAAACACTGTACCCCATTTTTCAGTAATCCTCAACTGTTGATCTTCCTTCCGGGAGCCCACTCTTCCTGATGGAATTACATTGGGTTTGTAATCTAAAGAACCCATTTTCCCTGGGTCAGAAGGAATGAAAGGCTCAGCCTCACACCCAAGCCAAACTATTCCCTGGGGAATCCTCTCCAGATAGCAAACATTAGAAAAAGCAAAGATAAACCTCCCGGGAGCAGCCCCAAGGCTGCCCAGCCCCAGGAGGAATCCTTCAAGACTTCCTTGGGCGCCTAGTTACAAGAATGATCTGGTCGGTGGTGACGAAAGATACACATTCCCATAAAGCTTTTATACCAGCTAAACACTGACCCCCACCAGGCAGGGCAGGGGAGCTGATAACCTCTCCCAGTCAGGCTGCCCGGAGAGATCTTTGAAAGCCAAAGGGCAGACTCACATCAACTCAGCTGCCCTGATGATACACAGCGGACCTGCCGACATCTCATGGCTTTGCACCGATGCAGACCTTCCAGAAGGGCAAAAATCAGAGGCTTCGCCCCCAGTCCTGTTCTGTAGCACAGGGTTGTGTCCTTCACAGAGTGCAATACCTTCCGTCACCCCAAAGACGCCACCTCCCTCTCCCCAAGCCCACCACACAGCCCCGCAGAGCCCGGCTTTCCCTGGATTTGCATCCAGGTGCAAATTCCTACTCGCCGTGGGAATCCTTCATCCAAATGCAAATCATTTTGCAAGATCAAAATTCTTTGGCTATGATCAGTAGGGACCAGCCTCTAAGAAAATTTGCATTTTAACTGGTAACGTAGGTACAGCCATGGGTCAGAGAAATGAAGGGACAAAGAGATCATTGCAAAAGCAAATTAACAAACAAATGAGATATGAATACACTCTATTAACTGTCTACATTTTTGAAACAGGAAGAGACGAGAATTTAGAACGCTGAAATGCATCCAACTGAAAAGGGGCAAAAGGAATTTTAATGAATTACAACACAACTTGAGATGAAACCTGGATAATTAGAGTCTCCATGATTGTAACTCAGTGGAAAACTGGCTTGATTTAGCCCCCTTTAAATGATTGCTTATAGTTGAAGACAGCTAGGTTATAAAGCAAGGCAAGCTAATATTAGAAAAAGTTAAAAACCTTTCCAGCCAAATATTTTTAAATGACTTGCTAGCATTTTAGGACACTGTTTTCTATATTATTAAAAAAAGAAAGAAAGAAAGAAACCAGAAAATTTTCCCAAATTCAGTTCCAGGAAGCTCCTGTGTCTGTTGGTTCATGATATCATCCACCATAATCCAAATATACTGGCATTGAGGAACCAAGATATCCGGTCAGTGATCTGGATAAGCATAAGATCAATAAAAATGACTGATAGGAGAAGCACCACCCACAGTTTGTGAGGCAGAGCTGTACCTTGAGCACTGACGAGAGCCACCGTGAGGGCACCAACTTGGGCAATGACCCACCTCACATACCCTTGTCCTTCCCACCGGACATGGAGATTCACATCCCCAGGAGCGTTGGGGTTAGACTCTGGCCCTCTGAAGACCCGAGCCCCCTCTACACAAGGGCTAGAAGTGGTTGAAGGCTTACCTAGAGATGGATTCCCCGAATGCGATACGCAGGACACAGTAAGATCCGTCCTAGCAACCACGGGGGACACCAAGAGCATTTTCTCAGTCCTAGGCCTGCCTGGGATGTGGTTAAAATCGGTCTTAGACAGTAATGAAGTAGACTACAAGTTTCGTGGAGTAAGTCAAGTCTCCCTGCCACGGTTTTTTCCTGTCAGGTCCCCACCCCAAGCTTGGTGCCTGACGTTTGACTTTTAAACCGTTGACAATAGGAGAGACCTTGGGCTAGATGAGCGGACACCCTCCACCTGGAGCCACTTCCTGTGACTGCTGGCCCGTGACACATACGGGTCTCTCTTCTCTTTCATTCCCACCGTCCCTTCCTGCCCTTCTGGGACCAGAGCAGAAGGGCGTGCGGATGCACACTGGCGTGGAGGTCCTATTCTCGTGAGACCGGAACTGTAAAACTCTTTCTTATCACTAAATACACCGAAGGCTTATCTTTATGAAAAGAGAGAAAAAGCTTAGCTCACCCTCACCTACTTAATCCTTCTCCAGTCTAGCCCTAACACTTCCACTCAGGGCGGGGGGGAGGTGGGAGCACAGGGAGTCAACGGTTCGGCTTCTAGAAACTGTGCTTTATTAGTGCTTGCTTTAAAACCCACAGCACTTTCGGGGCACCTGGGTGGCTCAGTGGGTTAAGCCTCTGCCTTCGGCTCAGGTCATGATCCCAGGGTCCTGGGATCGAGCCCCACATCGGGCTCTCTGCTCAGCGGGGACCCTGCTTCCCCTTCTCTCTCTGCCTGCCTCTCTGCCTGCTTGTGATCTCTGTCTGTCAAATAAATAAATAAAATCTTAAAAAAAAAAAACAAAAAAAAAACCACAGCACTTTCTATTTTCCCATCCAGCCCTTCCCTGAGGTCAATACCGGACTCAAAATTGAATTTTATTCCAAGCTCTGTTACCACTGTAGTAGGAGACGGTTTGTTTAGGAAGCACTAAACTCCAGGTCAGGTGTATATTAAACAGAAGTTCTTTACCTTCCCACTCCTTATACTTTAAAAAAAAAAAAAAAGATGTTATTTATTTACTTGAGAGAGAGAGCTAGCACAAGCTGGGGCAGGGGGAGAGGGGAAAGCAGACACCCGCCCCCCGCCCGAGGTAGGGGCTCGATCCCAGGACCCTAAGAACATGACTTGAACCGAAGAAAGACACTTCACCGACTGAGCCACCCAGGCGCCTTCCCCTGCCCCCCAACTCCTTATATTTAAAGCTGACTGGAGACTGGGTGTAGCCTGCACT